ACCATTTTTAGCCAGTTTTCAACCAGCTCGATCAGCAATTTGCACTCGATAAATTCGTAAAGCATCTTGCACTTAATTGCGATGACAACCATTAAATCCGGAACGAATTTTGTTATTTGAAGAGATGCCGCAACATAATACCATCCTTCGGTTTTTTTGCATCAGAATATTTGCACTTTAATGGGAAAACTCGCTTTGCATACTTTCCTTTAGCTAATATTGACTGTTTCCATTCGGCAACAGGTTGTAGTACTACTATTAGTCCACTATCATGTTCCACAGTTTTCCTAATGCTCAATTAGACAAAATTCACCTAGCAAAATCCGGCGTAGTTCTGAAAAAGGTGTGGAATAATACGCAGAAAAGTGCCAGATACCTGAATTGAGACCTGAATCGACCGGTTTGAGCTTTCATGTATTTACTGCATTGTTCGGGACCCGTCTGCCATTAATCGTTGATCACACATAGAACGAAAACGAACTCTTCTAACGAAAATACGCCTGTTTGATGTTTCATTCTAGTATCATTTACAAAGCCGATAAAGACGATCGATCGAAGCCTTGCCTGCTTTGGCCCCGCATCATTCGTGTGGAATGATCGTAATGACCAAATCGCCGGTTATGAAGGTTTATGGAATTGTTCTTGGGAGGACATAAAATGCGAAATTTCAAAAATGCCAAACGATTGAAGGGTAATAAAAGTCCGGCCGCGCCGCGACTGGCTAATGCCGCATTAAAACCCATTTGCTTCGATGTTCCAATGAAAATATGACTGGGTAGTTTCAAGCAATAAAACGAGCTTTTTTCGAACATGAAAAAGCGTGCAAGTAAACCAACAACTAATTTTTGGAGACAATGTCAAGTTATTAACGAAAAACTAATTGAACAAAAACTGTTCCTTAATTAGATCAAATGCAAGGACTGGACTCGACGGACGTTATTGCCGCCGCTAAAAACGAAGGCCTAAATAAATATAAATAGCAAACGGTTTGTAAGGCTCAGTGACGAGAAAGAATGGAAGAGATAAGTTGAGCGATTACACGTAATTACAGTGGCAATGTTTCGCAGATGGGAATTTGCTATTTTGGTCCGAGGTGGAGCCACACCTTGCAGCAAAAAAAGGAAAGCTCCTCAATTGCACCACCAGGCCCATAATTCGATTCCATTGTGCCCAGAAACGGACTGAAAATCCGAATTACTGTTCGCTTATTGGCTTTACACCTTAATAAAGGAATTTTTACTTGGCCCTTTATCCTCCGGGAATCCATATAAACGTTCATAACTGCTTATTTTGTCATTACATTCATTCGTCTCATTTGTACGGAGCCCCGGACCGAGCTCACAAAGCTAGTCAGAAAACCTCTTATTGATCGTTTCTGTTTATAGCTTTTAAAAGCAGCCTCCTGCATGGGATTGTGTCTCGGGGCGCTCAAAATAAAACAGACATTTTCCCTTCTCTGGTAAAAGATAACAGCGAATGGCTCTGGGTGGCAAAAATTCAACACCCTTTCCCATTAATGGAATTGGAATTTTCTTTGGCCGGAACACACAACACATGTTCGCAACCATCATGCAAATATTTGGACGGATATAAACCCTTAAATTCGTACGCGTATCATTCGTAGAAATATCGGGCGCTCCAGGCACAGAAAAACGTTCCAATTTGAATGCCTCATATGAAAATGACGTAACTCCAACCGCACAAAAAATTGTTGAGGCTGGAAAATGTGCAACTAAATTTGTCTAACGGCAAAAATTGGCAAAATCGTGATTTTCTAGGTCGAGCCAATACTGAGAAACAGAATGCAATCTTACCCGCCGTCATACATCCTGGAAGAGATCATTTAGGCAATTGGAATTTTTCCAGTTTTATCTGAAACAAAAATTTAAATTCAAACATCGTGATTTCAAGCTTGAGCAATTTTCATAACTTTACGGAATTTGTCACGAGTCATGGCAATAAGAGATTACTAATATCTCGCATTGAATAAGTGAAATAACTATTCGAATTATTTACTCCTAATTATGAATGAATTCATCAATTAGTGGTGTTTAAATAACCACTGTCTCCTATCGCATCTCTTTCTAATGTCAGTAAAACCCATTCAACTTCTATGGCCTTCTCTTTCGCCCCTAATTCGAAATCGAAATTGGAGAAATTCTGACTGCTGCGGGCGCTTTTATTTCTGTTTAAAGCGTTATTTAGTGCAACGCTTCTTCGATTAATGCGAATTTTTGCGAAAAATTAGTGCACCAGATGAAATTTTTACAGGGTGCCAAATGAAACGGAATTAATAAATTCTGTTCTCAGTTGGACAAAAACCTATTGTTTGTATTCCAACACCAGAAGCATTAATCAACACCTCAGATATCGTTTTCAATTTTTCGCTCAACTGGATTCGATTAATTTACCCAGGTCCCAGTGTAGTCCCAAGTGGTCCCAAAAAAATCAACTTTTGCAAAATCAAAATGTTTTCCTCTTTAACCAATTTTCAAAACTTAGGGCTCATACTGAAGGTAAAACTTCACAGTCGAATTGAGAGTCAACTTCACTTAGTTGAAAATCTTCCAGAATCTCAAATTTCGGAGGCAATTCTGATTTGGGTCACTTTTAATGCGACCCTGTATGTCGAATTTGTGTCTTAAATTGTTTAACTTGACTGATTGCATGACAAAAAATGAATAATCGCTAAGTTTCATCTTCAAGATGAGCGCAAGATCGTGAAAATCGGCTCAAGAACAGAAAAATTATCGCTATAAGACCAAAAAAGCGGATTTTTTTGCGGAGCTATTTGGTTATCTTCAAATTTTTGGCGTCGGTACCAAAAAAACCTCATTTTTCCAACTAGGAGCACGCCAAACTTTGCTAGATTTTGCATTTGTCACGCTCTAGAAATTTGTCGTAGATTCTGACTTATTACCAAAAGATATAAGGCTTCAAACAGAAACTGAATCGCTTCAAGCAACCAGAGTTTGTCCAGTTCTAAATTAGGACAAATTTTGTCGAGCAGTTTATGTGAAATAAACTCAAATCAAGCTGGTTTCATGACAATGAAAGATTGAAATTATAGGAAGACGTTTTAAGTCCGCTTCAAGGGGAATTTGATGTAAACTTTCTGACAAATTACAGAAAAGCACGCATTGAAAAGTTCCCTGCATGATTTCTCGTGTTGTCAGCTTCCAGCTACTTCCTAGACATGCAACAAGACCTGAATAGGCTCTAAGATAAGCCGTGTGACATCATAATTAATTTCCGATTCCACATCAAAGGTTTATCATCAATACAAACGCTCAAGCAGACCCAAGGTCTCAACGTCCACCTTAGATTAGTGTTCTGATAGCGATACCATCGGTTTTTTGTATCCTTGTTCAGCATTAAACTGTTCTCAAAAAACTAGTTTTCCGATCTTCCCAACCATGTTAATTCACAGTCGTAATATCGTGGGCGACAGAAACCAAACTCGAGGGCATCCGTATGCAAATTTCCTAGTTACGAGGCTTGTGAGCCGAAAAAACTACCTGGTAAAATACTCAATTAGACACAATGGAAATGTGTGATATTAACGGTTGCTCTGCTAGCTGATGACTATGTCAGACGCCTTAGAGAAGGCAACAGACAGACAGAGAGTTACTGAAGCTGACCACAGTTGCACACGCATCAGTTCTCAATGCCATCTTTGTTGCAAAGATTTGCCGTTAAATTTTTCAAGAGACTAATCTAAGATTAAGGATTGCAGATATTTACCAAGTAAAGCTCCCATAACGATGACTAAAAATAGGCCTTTCACAATACGGCATTTGCCTTCATCCACATGAGATATACCGATAGAACTGACATCTTGAAGTCCCAATGCGGAACGCAAAACGACGATGCACTACTTTCATTTCGCATGGTAATTAAGCGTTTCCTTTAAACACTTTATCGTTACTTGTTACCGTTTATAATTGTAATCGGCCGACATTTGGAAAACGTTACGTTTTTTGAGGACGTGCATTAATCGAGACGATGGGGGGACAGACAACGCACAGAAAACGGTCGGCCAAATAAAAAAAAAGACGAGGTAGGTAGATGGTGTATCGGACTCATTAAAATTGTTGTGAAACGAGTTTAAAATGAAATAAGATGCCGTACAAGTAAGAATACAACGACGGATGAGAAAAATGCCAGCGGATAAAAATATGCGACCGGAGATCGGCAGCAAATCGAGAAATCGATACGGAATCAGCCCAACACAATGGCAAGAAGGGAACTGTGATCTCTGCCTCACACTTCCTGGCTCGAAGGCCATTAATTGGCAAAAACACCCAAAAAAATCACCATTCCCAATGTTGAAAACTTGGCTGTTCGTATCGTCAACCTTTTCGATGTGTTTGCTCAAGTATGCGATGCAAAATGGAAATGATCTCTGCATGTGTCTAAACCAGAACGCAAGCACGATGGTAACGACAAACCGTCTTTTTTCAGTTTCCTCCCGAAACAACCGTTTATTATTGTTGTGGATTAATAGAACAGCTGCACACGTTCCATGCCTCGGTCGCAACCTTTGCATACTCGAAACGAATTTCTTTGGGTGAATCGGAAGATACCTTCAGGCTTCAGCCGTCAGGTATAATGTAACAGCCCAATTTTCAAATATCACAGAGCAGTTTACAAAAAACAACCGCAAACGGGGGATTCTGAAAAACTGAATATTCCAGCGGCATAAACCTACGGTAAAGCATATTTATCCGACACGAAGATAATTAAGCGTATTAACTATTATGTTTCTTGCTTATTGGGGTCAACGTCTGCACTAACAGTTTCGATGGTACTCGGTATTAAAAAGCTACCCATCGTTAGACGGCAGATGTGAACAAACAACCATTTCAAACCGCTAGCGGACTAAACTTGTTGAAAAACAATTTTCCTCAATAAGTAACGATTTTCAACTACTGAAGCTTAAGGAATCAAATGAATGGCACCCAAATGGGCAGCTACTTTAAACCCTCTTTCGCCTAAATGATGGCAGCCCTTCCAAGAAATTCTATTCTTAAATTGCTTCAAATCTTTTGGGCGCTTTTGAGTAGTTTTCGCCCACGATTGGCATTTATATATTGGCAAAAATAGGCACATTTTTCAACGTTACAACAAAACATTACATCGAAAACGAACTTAAAACAACTTTTATGATCTTAATTTACACTGTAATGCGAATAATTATAAGTTGCTAGTTTCATTCCCTGCCCAAAGATCGGTAGAACATGGAAGTTTCTTTGCGCGAGTATTTTGTGCAAGTTTTAATGCCTTGACCGAGAAATAAGTACAATTCCCAGCCAACATTTGCCTTCGTTGAAATAGTGAGGTAAATCGTAAAAAGTTTTACTGGGCAGACAAAAGCCGCACTGGAAAAAGGAAGAATCCGAATCCGTATCCTAATGATTTACTTCCAGGCAGATGGATATTTACAATGGAATATAAAAAATCCGTTGTATGGCCTCCCAGGTCTCCGGACTTAACACCTATGAACTATTTCTTATACGTTACCCGAAGCGGAAAACATTGAGGAGTTGCAAGGACGCATCAGACAGGAATGTAGGCAAATTTCCGCCGAAGTAATTAGAAAAGTTCCAAACGAGTTTCGGTTCGGTTTAGGATATTGCCAATTAGTTAATGAACACAAGTTTGAGCATTTAGGTATTAAAGCAATCTTTGCTGATTGAAGAAGAAATGTTTGTTAAAGATATATGTATGTTTCAAGTCATTCACAGCTTATTTTTTATCAACTTACACATTTCTTGTCCCAACGAAGAAGTTTTATCGAAGAGGAACCAAGCGACATTTTCATACTGCAGGAAAACCATCAAACAAAACCAAGCAGTCTTGTTTGAAAAACAAGATTGGTTGGTTACAGACCAGACTAATCAAAATGAGGAAACATTTAAAAAATATCCAGAAATCGTTCAAAAAGAGTCAGCATATTGCGATTTTCTTTCGATCTGTCTTCTCTATAGATTAACTCGCAATAAAAGTAAATCCATTAGAAAAAAATTAATTTTACTCTCAACTTTCAAGGTAGCGCATTGATATTCCCATTTTTGTCTTTAAATTTACATTTAAAGTGCTTTATTGCATCATTACGGTCCAAACTAGGTTTTCAAATTTACACAATTTTAACGGGCTGTTGGAAATATTGATTTATTTTCTGGTCGCCGTTGTTTTAAATAAAAACGCATTTTATAACGCATGAAATACAATCATGAAGGCGACGCTATTAAAAGTCAAGTTTTGCATTTGCTTCGATAAATCGGGTAAAACTTTGTCAGCAGTTTGCCTTGGAAAAAATTGAAGTCTAGTAGTAGTGAAAAATCTTTAATTGTTATACAAATACATCATAAATAGTCCACATAGTTCTTCCTGTCCTGAATGGCAAAAGGTTGTAAAATATGAACAAAAATTAAAACTAGCTACAAAATATATGGTTGAAAATGTTCCAATGGGGCTTGTCTGGCCGGTGTTGTTGAGCAGAAAGAGTCCGGGAAGGTCCAATTGGGACGGATTCTTCTCCATTTTGAATGGGTAGTTTTTTCCTTATCCTTCTCAAGTTTGTCCGTTCAAAGAGTAATTTATTACGTCGTATTAGTAGATTGGAAATAACTTTGAAAAATTCAATCCTCCGTCGTAGTTCCCGTTTCCAGTTGCAGTCTTCTAAATTATTTTTGCCTCATCAAACACTTTTACACACATTTACCGATAATCTTCTGTAAAACTGGTTTTTTCAGCAGCATGAGGGTTTTCGATCGACGCAGAAAAGGGTTCTTGAAAGGCCAATGGCCAAAATGATTGTTCGACCCTTCACATAAACCACACATTGGAGAAAAACCAATGGATACAATTATTGAAGCCATTATTAACTATAAGTATCGTGCACAGACGTCTTATTTTGTCCTGGTGATAAGCGAGTCTTGGTCTCGGACTGGATAAAAAAGGAAACCAAGAACAAAACTGTATTTTGATTTGCAAGACCAAGACTTTACAACAGCCTTGCGAGACTTGCAAGAGGTAATTCGATATTAAAACGCATTAAATCTGTCCTAAAAGCCCTTAAGTATGGAAAAAGTATTGGACTAATTTTGGAACTTGATAAGTTCTGATTGCTGACAACAATTCGATTGTTTGAAGCGTTATTGACTTGCAATTCGTTTTGGGTTAGTGCGAGTTTTTGCAACAAAAATGTGGTTCAGCTAACGTTACAACGGGGTGGCATGAAACAATGCACTCTATACCAACCACTCGTACCCCGATGGTTCATGAACCGTTGAGAATTGAATAAAGAGTCAATAAACTAAATTGTGCTCAAATGTAGACTGGTATGTGCGAATTACGCGAATAATAACGAAACTCGGCAAACACCGTACTTATATGAAAAGAGCAATTGCTTGTGGGAAAATTAGGCGTTTCTTGCAGCGCATATTTGGTGCCCCAAAAACAGGCACTTTGTCTGTGAATTTTACTCTAAGATGAAAGAAGGCAAACTGAGACAACTGTACAAACTCACCCCAGAGTTAGAATCCGGAGTTACGCCGAAGATTTATTTAGGAAGGTATGCAGCATTTATCGAGTATAAAGACAGTCGTTAGTCGAACCAGGTTGGAAATTACCTCGTTTGTTATTGACTATCCCAAATAATCACTATTTTATTCAGCACAGCATCATATTGCTTTATTATTCACTGAAAATTCGTTCACTCGCGCGGCCACACAGTCACGGATTCCTGAATATTGAATAAACGATCGTTTCTGCTAGAATGTCGAACTTGGTATGGGCCGACATTAATTGTTATTAACGGAAGAATTGTCGCTGATGTTTTTAATGCGGCAATTTATGAATTCAGACAACCTTGGTGCACGACGTGCCTGATGAATTAACGATTAAAGGTAATTTGAGGAAGTCCGACACTGGCTCTCTCAGATCGCAGGAATAGCGCTATTTGCCATTTAAATAGAAATTGGCCAAATTGTTGATGATTAATTACCGTTGATTGCTGATATTGATTCATTGTGACGTATTTTGGGCAGCGACTTAATTTGGAACTTTACCGAAAAAATCGTGAATTAGTTTAGTCACGGGGGCTCATTAAGTCTCATCCTAGTCGCTTTCTGTGGGGTTGAACCCAGTTAAGCCGGAGGAAATTGTGACAGCTGTTGAACTGAACCAACAAAATGTTATTGTTTATGAAAACGATGAATGAAAACTGCGCTGAATTTACGCTCTAACCTGAAAAACACGTTACTAAAACAATAGCGGATTGAGTCGTGATGAGCGGGTCTTGGCCCCTTGGCCTGCCGAAAAGAAGTACAAAGAAACCGCAAAGGAAAATGGTAAACCAGCCCAGCCAGGCGGTGCAATTAAGGCTACTTACTTGGGGGGGTTATTCACAAGACTGAATGTATCCAAATATAGGCATCGGTCAACGTATCAGCGTCCGAAAGCGTCTCTACTTCACCCACAAAAACGAATACACAAAACTAATAGGAAGAACCCAGCGAGAATCTGCACGAATTTCGCTTGTATGGCAAGTACACGTGAGTTTAATTGTTCCACACACTTGGGGCACTTGTGGGGCATGGGGATTTGCGGTCTGCGCCAATTATTTACGCGAATTTTCGCGTTTCGGGGGTGTTTTTTAAGGACAACAGCGCTTCGTCGTTACAAGATGGCCGGACCTAGGCTTGGTGTCAGTCCGATTGCTTTGCTAACCCCCCTCCCGCCGTGCACGGTACCCCCCGTAAACGTCCACAGTCGGTTTTCATTCTCGCTTCTCTGACTCTCTTCGTCGCACATTCAGCGTGCAGTTACATTGAGCCGGATGCACACTGTAAAAATCACTCTGATTACTCATTTCGGAGTGTTTTTACTGTTTTTATCGCTTGACGGGTACCGGGGAGTGTTCGGTTCGTTCGCTTTGTTTTTCGCCGCAAATTCGCCTTTTCCGTTAACCGTGAACGTTGTCAGTTGATCATTTCGGTTGATTTGTTCATTGCCTGCAGTTTGTGCAGTTTTCTACTGGCTGCACGTGCCCAAATCCGACGTTCTTCAACCCAATCTGACGCTGTTGTTATGATTGTCAGGTTATGTTGTTTTGGTAATTCCACTCGACGATATCAACAGGGGAATATCAGGTAAATGAGACCGATTTTCCTTCACCTTATTTATAAGTAGAGCCCGGATTTAGTGTGAACCACATGTCATTTGACTAATTTATACAGATTAATTTTTTGATTTTGATTAATTCCACACAGAATATACAGGGTGTTTCATGACGAACTTCAAGTGTTAATTTTATTTTTTTTGTGAAATTTTTGGGTTTTTTAATTCAAAGTTGTTTTTTTTTTGCATTTCAAGTGCAGAATCATATGGACCATGCTACTTACTAAATGAAAGGCGAGTGCAATCCACAACTGTCTTGTGCAAATTAAGCAACATATGAGAAACTGTGCCGTTTTGTTTGTAGTTATCAATATGTTGTTCAGTTAAGGAAATTATTAAACTACAGTTGAGTCCGGATATAACGAACTTGAAAAATGAACTAAAACTGGTTTGTTATATCCGGAGGTCGCTATAAGCGAATAATAATACAAATACACGTGGTGTATTTTATTTCGTTATTTTTACATAGAGTAGTAGAAGTTAGTAGGTATGACTAAAAAGAACACAAAAAGATAAACAAAATTCAATTTGAAATCTACTTCATCAAGTCTGTAATTTTTGTTTGTACATTTCTGATGCAAAAATAGATACTTATGTAGTTTTCAAGATCACAAAAGGACTCCCAGATATTATTAGGAACTTGGCTTGATTGTAGAAAATTACGAGTTTCTGAACTTTTTTTGTCATTTCAGAAATGGTTGGAACAGCATTAGTGTCTACAGTAGAATACGTTTTACCTAAATCGTCATCTTTCTCATTATCGCTTAAAGGTGTAGCTGAGGTTACGGAGTCTATAATTTGCTCATCGGTCAACATTTCTCTTGTAAGAATGCCATTATCAATGCTCACATATTCGAAGAAATTGAAATCA